TTTTAACCATACATTCTTCCATCAAACACTATTCCAGAATTTAATTTCTCTCTAAAATGGGTGTCAAACAGGGGCTTAATAACGAACAATTAGAAATCAGGAAAGAAAGGGGTGTAAAGAAGAGAAGAATTGAGTGCAAAGTGAAATCAATTTTTATTCATATAATCACATTTGTGAATTATAATGAATAAGCCCTTTATTTATAGAGCAATAAATTAAAAGAAACTAAAATCAAACAAATTTCAACTAATCTAGAACTTTATCAAAATAAACAAACCAATCTAATATAATTAAAAACTTATAATTCAAACTAAACTCTCTATTAAAATTCTAACTAACTTCATCTTTATCTCATCCTGATCTCCATCAATAATTCAATTAGAAGATTTCAGTATCATCCTTCCTATGACTGGCAGTGATGGTACGAGGAAAGATTCCTCCTATGAAACCTACTAGATTTGAAATTCCAGAGTCACATTATAAACATAACTAGTAGATTTAAAAAGGGTGCACAACTTAAAACGATGGTAGGCTACATATTTGATTTCCATCTATCATGCTTGGATGCTTTTGAAAAAAGAGAGACTTCATAAATCGTACAGGCTAAAATTGATGAAAATCTTGATTCAGATGCCTATTCTAATAAGTAATCACATTGCAGTATTTATCTTCACATAGAACACTATAGTGCAATAAATAGTACATAAAGAAGATCTTGGAATCAACCGAAGAAACAAATAAGGATCACCTATGTGAACACATTTTGAATTTCCTCATCAGACAACGTCCAACCTGAAAGCTGACATGACAAAAAATGCTGCAAATTGATGGACACTTTAATTGATACTACAAAAGTAAAGACCAGCACCGCTCAAAGTCATAAATTCTAGACCAAGTCTAACAATGCAGTTCAAGTTTGAAGATGACAATAAAATGCTAGATGAAGTTGGTGTATCCATTTTATACTTGTTTCGATTCATTTCAGCTAATCATGGATACTTGTTGTATTCTCCTCGACATGAATTTCTCCAACTTCAGTCCGAGTGAATTCTAAGGGAGGTGGCTCAGAACATGCTCTCAAAACAGCCTCATTCTGTGACAAAAACATTTCAATTCATTTAGACAGTTAATAATTTAAAGTTATAAAATATAGCAAAGGCAAACTAATTATAAGCATGTCATGCTTAAGTTCTTTCCTAATATAAAATTGACGATATTTTTTTAACATTTTTCTGTTAAATCTTGGACATTGGCTTGTTGGGTTTGACTAGATTCTGATTGAGAATTAAAGCCAAGATTCAAGCTCGAAATAAGATTCAGTTGATTTCAAACCAAGTTAAGCCAAACATAATCTTAATTTTTTCAATCGATCCAAGCATGAGCTAGAGTGATTCCACAGTCCCGAGTCTCAACTCAATTCACCACAACTGGAATTGGTTTTACATTGTACGGATATTCCATTGGAAATTCATGGTCCGTAATATTATATTACTATTTGCTACAATCTACATGGAGGATTCAAGACAAGTTCAAATACATCTATATGTTCAATTACTGAATCATCGAATGGACACATGAGAAATCAGGTGAATACTGATTCAGGATTAAGAACATTCATGGTCCAGTCAAGCCATCCAGAATCGTGACCGGTAATTGGGTTTCTCATCTAGTTCCTTGGTCTGCAATCAATAATCCAAAAAACATTCCTGGAAATGTTCAATATTATATGTAAATTCAAGTTCTGTAGATGACGAACAATAGTGATTATAATTCCCAATGGTGTCAAATAAATTTGACTTTCAACAATTTCGAAATTAGACACAAAAATCTTGATTTAGACACTTCATGATAAAGAATGAACATCGTTACAGAGTTCATTTTCCTATGCGTAAGGAGGTAGTAGGGAACAGGACAGAGATATGATTTGATTGTGAAGCACTGATAAAAGTTCCAAACTTTCTGGTTTTTTCAGTGACAAAGCAATGCTT